TTAGAAGGAAAAACTCTGACTCTGCAACTTAAAGGGATAACTGTATGAAATATAACAGACTGCATGGAACATAATAGAAATATCTAAAGGTTATATATATTATAGATAAATTATATAACACAACACTAGCACTTCCCACTGAAAATATCAGGAAGCAGTTTTACAACAAAAGGGTGACAATTTCTCCATACAGATAATTAAGTTGAAGAATTCATTTCCACCAAGTTCTGAAACCAAGATTATAAGTAGATGTAAAACGGGACTGCAAATAACTGTGGCAAACAGATTCCTTATTGCCAGGGAATAAATCCAGCAGTATGCACGCAGCCACTGCCTCAGGAAGTCACTAAAATACCTGTATCAGAACCACTCTATGCATACACTTCTCCTTATGTGTGTTCTCAGGTATTCATTGCTGAACACTGCAATATATAATATTACAATAGTGGAATCTTCAGCGCATTCTAGCATGGGAATTACTTTATTATGATTGGAGATTAACACCATTACATAACATTCCAAGATTCATGCAGAAGAAAGATATAAACCCTTAGGCAGAAAACCACCACATCCTAATGAGGAACAACCTGAATACACTTTTTACAAATATATACCTTCTAAATCTGAAGAAATAAAAATTGGTAGGCTGATTGTTAAGCATCAAAAACAGTTGTTCCAGAGGGCAGCTAAGAATTTCTACTCTTTAAGGATTAAAATATGGAAATATCTCAAACACTGCTGATAAAACTCATGATGAAGTACACACGTGGTGGAGGTAGAAGTATTCTTCATCAAGCCAAGATATGCAAGACAACTCTCAGTATCAGAGTGATCACAGAAATTGGGAGGGGCACCTAAAATCTGCAGAAAGGAAAATATAACTTCTATCTTGAAGAAGCATAAGGATCTACAGAACCACAGACTGGTCAGACTCATCTCAGTTTCTGGGAAAGTAATGGTACAACTAATCCTGTGAACTATTTCTAGGAACGTGAAATACAAAGCAGTGATCAGGAGTCAGCAGCCATTGACCAAGGGGAAGTCACACTCCACCAATGTAATGACCTTCACAATATGGGGAGAGCAGTGAGTATTGTCTGTCTTGCTTCCAATAAGGCTTTTCCCATTGTCTCCCTTAACATTCTCATAGAGCAGCTGATGAAGTACAGACTGGGGGAGCAGACTTTAAAGTAGACTGGGGCCTTGCTGAATGGCTGGGCCCAGGGCAGGGAGATCAGTGGCACAAAGCCTAGTTGGAGGCCAGTTCCTAGAGGTTTATCTCAGGGGCCATTATTGAGTCCAGTCCTGTTCAATAACTTACTGATGTAGATGATGGGGCAGCGCCTACCTTCAGCCAGTTTGTGGATGACACCAAACTGGGAGGAGTGGCATATATGCCAGAAGGTCATGGTGCCATCCAGAGGGAGCTTAACAGGCTGGAGAAACAGCATGACCAGGATTTCACAATGTTCAACAAAGCAAAATGCAAAGTCCTGCACCTGGGGAGGAAGCACAGGCAGCCGTGCACTGGGAACTGCCCGGCTGGAGAGCAGCTCTGCAGAAAAGGACCTGGAAGTCCTGGTGCACACCAGGCTGAGCATGGGCAGCATGCCTTCAGCAAAGGGAAGTGAATGGGCTGCATTAGGCAAAAGCATTACCATGAGGCAGAAGGAGGTGATCCCATCCTTTGTTCAGCACTGGCAAAGCCACACCTGGAGCTCTGTGTCCAGTTCCAGCCTCCCCAGTTAGAGAAACGTGGACATACTGGGGACAGTCCAGAAAAAGGCCAAAAAGGGACTGAAGTTTCTCTTACATGAGGACAGACAGAGAGTTTGAACTTTTTAGCCTGTAGTAGAAAAAGTTCAGGGAAGAGATCTTATCAATAAATACAAATACCTGAAAGAAGGGTGCAAAGAGAATGGATCCAGGCTCTTTTCAGCAGAGTCCAGTGACAGGATCAGAGGCAATAGGCACAAACTGAAGCACAAGAAGTTCCCTTTGAGCAGGGAGAAACACTTTTCATTCTAGGGGTGACCAAGGACTACCACATGTATCTCTTACCCAGAGATTTTCTGGAGTCTGCATCCCTAGACACAATCAAAATCCAGCTACACATAGTTTTAAACAATGCTCCTAGGTGATCCAGCATGAGAAGAAAGGTTGGGCAAGATGATCTCCAGAAGTCTCTTCCAACCTCAACCATTCCATGATTTTGTGGTTCAGAACTCATGTCCAAGAGCATCAGACTAATCCTACCTCTGCCCATAAGCACACATGGTCAATGGTTCTACAAAAATACCTTTTCCAGAACAAAAGTGAAATCTGTAACATGATACCTTGTTTTCAGACACTACTAACTTCTATTCTGCTATTACTCACCACATTTTGTCTTCCCCAGATTCGCTGTGGGGAGTAAATAAGCTTTTTCATCAGCAAAGGTGGACCATCAGTATATCTCAAAGTTAGTCTCAGATCCTGACAGTCATTTCAAGTGGAAAATACCCCAATATGTATGAATAGTAGCAAAAATTTATACAGACATTTATTCTCCTCCCCAGTGTCCCACAGTGCTCCCTGGTACAACACTTTTTTGCAAGCCATTAATGTCAGAAAAAATAAATAAAATTTAAAAGCTGCACCATTAGTATTTTCAATTTTCTCCCTGAATGTTTACAATAATCATGAAAATAAATCCTGATAATTAACACATTAATGAAATTATCACAAATAAGCAGTGCTGGAAGACATTTTTACAAGTCATTTAGTCCATTCTCTTGTTCCAGCACAGGACCAGCTACACTTGTGCCTCCTCTAACAGGAGACAAACCTGTTCCTTAAGATTTTCCCAACTTCCAAACAAGCCCTAAACAAAGTATGGAAGCATTTTAAGTTTTCTTTCCATTAAAAAGTTCTCCCTACCAAGTTCAGTCTCCGCCCAATGCAACCTAAGTTTACTCCTTTCAGCTTCACCATGAGATGAACATGGAAATTGATCATTTCCTTTCACTTGTCCATCTCCTTCTTTCCCTGGGATTTTCTTGTTAGGAGGCTAAATTAACTCATGCGTTTGATTCTTTCCTAACACATACCATGGTTTTTAGACACCTAATTATTCATTCCTTTTACTCTCCACAGAATTACAACTGCTCCACATAATTTTTGAAGGGTATGCTATGCCAGGTGAGACCTTACCAAAGCCTAGCAGTGGGAAAACTTCCTCACAGTGCTTCCTGGCTAGTGTTTGTACATTCCTGTGTGACATTAATCTCTTTCAGGATACTGGCTACAACTCAACTTACATACTACCAGGGCTCCCTGATTCTCTGCCAAATAACATTTCCCTACAATTTTTATTTGTCCTATGTCAACCACATAAACTACCCCTACAGAACCTCCCTTTGCATTTTTCCTTTTGAATAACATCATAACCATAGCTTGGGGTTTTCAGGATAATTTTTTATTATAATCTTGCCATGAGGTGTGAACACAAGACTGGGAGAAGTGTATCAAAAAATTCAGTGAGTATACTAATTAATTAATTTCTTAGTTATATAATAAAAGCACTGAACAAAACTGGTTCCCAAAGAGGTGACCATTTGAAAAGATCCTTCCATAATAACCATTTATTAATATTTTTGTTAACTATAACTCATCTGTTTACACTGCCCATATAGAATTTTAAGTTTCTTGAAAGCCATATGCTTCATATGTACAACACCAGTGAGCAGAACAACTTTTGCTGTTAAGGAAACTGGGAATACTAAGTACTGAGATGTTATGAGCAAAATGTAATATTGCCAGTATCTAATAATAACAAAAAAATATCACTATTAATATGTACACAATTTTATAAGCAGTTAAGTGAGAATATCAGAAAGTGAGCTCAGAATAACACATAGCTTTATGAATATCAATTTTATGTCCTATTTTTCCATTTAATTAGTGAAATTTTTTCACCATGTATTCTCAAAAAACATCACAGCTTTCATGACCCACAAGTATGAAGGTCCATTTAAATACATATACTAAAATATAAACAAATATTAATTCTGCCTGGAAAGTAATTAGTAAGTTATATGCATGCTTTAAACCAGTTATGCATGAGTTCAAAAACAAACATTTCTTTCACCACATGAACTTACAAGGCATAAACCTCTAGAAGAAAGAAGAGAGAGCAACTTAACTGTTTAAAGCTTAAATAACATCCAAAATACATTTTAGCAATTTGAAAATTTATAATAATAAATATTTTTAGTTTCTCTTTATTAAAGGAATATTTTCCTCTCCATGCTTTAAGTTCTACTCTAAGATTCAATGTCCTAGCTTTGCCAGTTTCTGTTAAAACTTGAGATTTTGAGGTATTTGAGTTAGCAAAAAAAATCATACAAAAGGTTCACAGATGAAATACTGGCTCCATCAAAGTCAAAACTTCCTCAGCTTTGATTGACCCAAGATTTCACCTCATATCTGCTGAAGTTCTGAAACTTGACAGATATTCTAAAAGCATGAAAAAAATTACATATTTTTCCAGTCCTTAGAAAGCTCTTCTGACATATTATGTAGATTCATATAGCATTCTATGCATGACTCAGACCGTGCATGTGCATAGACATGCTATAAATAATGCTACATGTCTTATTCCAGCTCCTCATGCACAGAAAACAATACACCAGAAGTTTCATTATAAAGAACATTTGCCAAAAAAAAAAAAAAAAAAAAAAACCCAAAACAAAAAGAAACCAGCTGGAATAGTAGTAACACCTTAAATTGCACTCTAATGCAATCATTTAAGTTACTGATAAGGAGAGTAAGACCTGATTTTCAGTTTTCCCTTTGCAAATGAGGGGTTGGAAAGCAAATGGTGCTCAGCTTGTAAAATGCCCTCACCTGCTTGTTCTAAAAGGGCAATTATTTTAAAAAGACTAAAAGACTCTCCAGGATTCCAGGATGTTCTAATGCTATACAGATGTTACTTAATCTACAGAGAGCAGCTTACTTACGTCTGGGGCTCCTTTTCATTTTGCTGTTTTTGCTGTGGTTGAAGAACGTTATTTACCAGCTCAGTGATCCCACTAAAGGGAAACCACCTGTTTAAACAAGCAAATAATGTGACTGAATAACCAATAAAACCACACTAGTTTAAATGTTTTCTTATCCAACGTTAGTAGAAATACACAGGCGGAAAAGCTAGAGCCAATGGGAATGTGAGCTGCAGAACTAAAGAACTAAGTCAGCCACTAAGGGTGAAAGGGAAGTAAAGTTCTACAAGTCACCAGTTCACAAGCAAGGAGCAAGAACCTACATCCAGCTAACATGTGGATGGAGTCAGAAGCTACAGGCAGCTCTCTTAAAGCCAGTCAGGAAGCAGATGACAAACTACCTGCAGCCCATCAGGTATCAGTGAAAGCTAATACCATCAAAGGTGCAGAGAGCAGAACATGGCAAAGGTAGAAAAGTCAAGCCTAGTGCATCTTGAAGATACTTTACTTACTGTGTCGGCTGTGGTTTTTGCTCTTCTTTGACCCTAAAAAGATAAGTTTGCACAACTGAGTGCAACATGTTGAAAACAACTACCCTGAAGTACTAAAATCTGTATAAAATGGGAGGGGAAAAGTTCCTATTTTGAGTTAAAAGGATTTGTTTTAATATTTGTTGTATGTTTATATTAAGATGTACTATGGGCTTATTTCCATTTAGTTTTTAAAATGGGCAATGCCAAGTATAGAAAACTTTAATATGTAACTAAAAATCACATCAGTAATGTTCTTTACCTGACTTCCAATTTTTTACACATAATACCATATTAAAACATTTCCAGCAATCTATTCAGCTACAAATACAAAGGAAGGTGCTTTCATTATGTGAACTACAATCTATTTCTTTTTTATTCACAACCAAATTGCCTGTCATAGTTCAAGGCAAATTTATAACATGTAATATGCTATTTAAAATGAAATATAGTAAACTAATAGATTAAAGGAAAATCTGCATTATATTTATTAAATTACAGCAATGTCAGGATCTGAAGACAACATAACTAAAAACTAAGGAAGGAAAGCTGAGGAATTTTACTCATCAGTGAACTTTATATGACTTGCTTAAAGAAATAACTGGATAATACATACAGAAGGTCTGTTTAGGACTGATTAATTGTTGTCCTCTGTCTTAAGCAAAATATTCCATCTAAAATGCATGCTTTAACTTAAATGAGCAAGCTGATGTTCTATACCAAACCTGTGCTGGTTTCAGTTGGAGTAGAGTTAATTTTCTTCACAGTGGCTGGTATGAGACTGTGGTTTGACTTTGTGCTGAACACGGGGTTGATAATATTGAGATGTTTTTGCTATTGCTGAGCAGGGCTTACACAGAGCCAAGGCCTTTTCTGCTTCTTGTACTGCCACTCTGGTCAGGAAGATGGGGGTGCGTGGGAGGTTGGGAGGAGACAGAGCCAGGACAGGTAACCCAAACTGACCAAAGGGATACTCCAGACCATGTGGCATCATGCTCAGCAAATAAAGCTGGGGAAGTAGGAGGAAGATGGGGTGGGGGGACATTTGAAGTGATGGAGTTCACCTTCCCAGGTAACTGTTGCACCTGATGGGGCCCTGCTCTCCTGGAGGTGGCTGAACACCTCCCTGCCCATGGGAAACACTGAATTATTTCCATGTTTTGCTTTGCTTGTGTGAGTAGCTTCTACTTTCCCTATTAAACTGTCTTTATTTCAACCCACAAGTTTTCTATCTTTTACCCTTCTAATTCTCTCCCTGATCCTACTGATACTGAGGGAATGAGTGAGCAGCTGCCTGGGCCTTGCTTACTGACTGGGGTTAAACCATGACAAAACCCAAGAACAGAGACATTTACCCACAGGAATATTTACATCCTCTAATTGCAGGTATTGGTCTTAAACATTAAGTTAAGATCTACTTTCCCTATATGTTCCAAAACCCAAAAAGGTTCCTATAAAGATATTCTGAATGTCTCTCTGCAGAGAATACTCTTGCCTAACTAAACAGGAAGAACAGGCTCATAATTTTAAGTGGATGCTTGGTGTTGCACACAACATATGATCTCAGATATTTTGTTGCACACAAAATAAAACTCACCAAAATACCTCCATATCTCATCCATCATATGATATCAGAGGAAATAACTCCATAAACAGCTTTCAGTGACTACATAAGATTTAAATAAGTGGATAATGAGAAACACTAATATCTTTCCAAAACTGAGTACCGAAAGGGAAAACTGAACATGCCACACAGTAAAATGTCTTCTAATATGGTTTTGCCTCTTCAGCACTTTACAAATGTATATAAAAAGTAACATTCCAGTACAAAAAAACTAAATAAATAAATAAACAAATAAATAAATAAATAAACAAGGCCCACAAAATCAAGCAGGTATATTAAACAAGAGAAAAAAAAAGTAAAAATGAAAATGTCACATGCCATTGCAATTCCACTCTACCATGCATCTTAATCATATTATTATCTTTAATCAAGATAATCCACACTTGTTTTTCAATGCAGAAAATTCAAAGCAGGAGAAAAGGGAGGGATGGGAAATCAAACCATGTCCATACTTAGATCCCCAGCATTATGAGTCTTAAGGCTCTGTGGTCAGCTTTGAAGAGAAAACTCCCAGATAATAATTCAGAGTTCCTAAGTTACCTACACAGAACTGGACCCTGAAATGTGACCTCCCTGACAACTGGACATTTAAAAAGGAATATATCACTAATCTATAGATTCCTTTCCATACTTGATTTCCAAACATTTGTACTCAAGTCTTTTAAGTTATTACATCATTGTGAATTGTTCTATTGAACTAAACAAAGGAAATCTGAGCCCTTCACATAATCTGATTACAACCAACATCTTTTCTTTGGATAGTGACCACGGTCAATATTTTTTCACATGTAGAACTGAGATCAAATTAGTTTAAGATCCTAAGTGTGTAGTTTTAAATTTTTGGTACACATTTTTTCAACAAGATCTAATATATTTACATTATAGCATATATATGTTGGCTTCAATTGCAGCTGCAAACCCTTGGTATTTTTGAAAAAATGACAAAATGACAAAATCTTACAATCAATGTTTAGTTTTCCACCATGAAATAAAACACATTGTCCATTATCAGACATGTTAAAAACCTGCATTTAAAATTAATTTCTCAGCATTTTACAGAAACACTACAGGATATGATATGACCCTACAATTCAAAGTATCTCCCTTATAAATTAATCTTTTTGCCTCCTAGAATTCTGTCTCACTATCCACTTTCCAACACTGCAGTTATGTGAGGACAAGAGCTTCCATTATTATATAACAGTGACGCATTCCTCGAGCACTCTCCATACATCCTTCACTCCCTGGATTAGGAAATTATCTTCCTTTACTTTATAACGAGCACAGAAGACAAACTACAATTTAAAAAGAAATTATTGAGAAATATATTGAAGTAATAGATTCTACCATATGGTTTTAAATTCATATTTACCTCGTGGATCAACAGGCCTGAACCCTTCAGGTGTACAGCCACATATTTATCTTTCAAGGTCAGAGAATGGATACAGATTCTGGATCTAAATCCAAAAACCACTGACTAATTTCAGCTTCTTTTTTTCCAAAAGACTTCATTCACACGAAATTACAAGTTGTAGTAACTGATAGAAATAATTATATATTAGATGAAATGCACTCTATGTATTTTTAGCATTGCTGTGGTTTAAATATCTTTTTCTAGACAGAAAAGGACGAAAGAGACTCCAGAAAACTTGAACCCTGTCTACATCTACACATACAGTTGTATTTCCTTTCATTACAAGAGCTGCTTTGTGTTTCACTGGATTGTGTACTCCCATATTTATGCATTGCTTTCTACCCTCCTTTCAAAAACCAGCAACAAACAACAAACAATTGCTTAAAAGTGTCTTGCCAGGTCAGCAAACCCCCAAACTTCCATCTTCTCAACAGACCAACTGAAATACCCCAAGCAGAATAACTACATTCTGCTCCTTCCAGCTACCTGGCTTCATTTAACCTTCCTCTGTCTTTTCAGCTCTATCCACCCAGATCTCTACCAAGAACAGTGCCAGTTCTCATTATTCACTAGAAACAAATTCTGATCTAAAAACACCAACAGGCTGCAGATAATGTGTCTGATTGACAGTAACTGAGACAATGTATTCTAACAGTGCAGAATACTAAGTATTTACTGCCTATTCTAAAACCTTAGGGGAGTTTGAAAGTCTTGTCACAACTTTTTTTTTTTTTAAATGATCACAACTCCATACACTACTTCACTTCAAAACAAGCCAGGATTTTTCTACTTGCCAACAATAAAGAATTTTTACACCTAGCACTTTGTTATGGGGAACCTCTGCCCTTTGAAACATACACAGCACCATCACTCTTGTGTTCCTCTGCAAGCCTACACAGTCCAAGAGCCAGACCCCTTTGATCTTTTCCAGTAGCTAGAATCATTAAGCTAAATCTCAAGTCTCAGTGAACAGTTTTTGATGTTAGGTCCTCTCCGTGTACTAAAAATTTCCTCAAAGATTAAGGCTATTCCCACTGGCACAGGGAATGAATATGAGAACAGAACAGAAAGAGGGAAGAGAGCAAGAAAAATGGAAGCAGGAAACTAAGTAATTAAAACATCAATATAAAAATTATTATTATCCCTTTAAACTCCTAATACTTTTCTATTTTTCAAACTACTGCCACCAGTAAAAGCTTCTCTCTAAAATCTACTATGTCAAAACCATAAAATATTTTTTCCAAAAGGTGCTTTGGAGACAGGTAAACTAACAAGTACTCTGTTAGCAGAGATCATTTCTATTTTCACATACTTGGATGCATGGCCACAAACACATAGGGGAAGAACTCAGGTCCCTCAATCTATGAAAATAACCCTTAAAACAGACTCTACACCTCCTAGATATCTGTATTAGTTCTTCTCAAGTGATGTTTGGGGAATCCAGATTTTTGAATCAGCCATCCTTGGCAGGGATAAACATCATAATATCAACCTCTAACCCAGTAATATTCACAAGATTCACAACTTGCCATCCATAGACCTACGAGCACAAGGAGATCAAATCTGAAGGAGTAAACTGGATGTACCCACTGTCTCCTAGAAACACTTAGTTGAGCATATAGCATTTAACACTCTATATCACTTTCATTTAAAAATGCTACAGGTCAGTAATTTCAGTTTTTTGCTCAATAATAGTCTATGTTTTCCATATTTCCTAACCAACTCAGTGGACTAGGATGGACCAGGATGGAAGTTTTTTCTAGCCCTTTTGTTGAAATGGAGAAGATTGGAAAAGCAAGTCAATCTTTTGCTTGGAACTCCTCCATGAAAAAATATCTAAATATATTTTATTATTACTATTAATTCTGTGATGTTGTTTGTATCAATTTAATGAAGCTGCTGGTGTTTCTAAAGTAGTTATTTTTATTAAATATATTGCCAGGAAATCCAGAGAGTGGGACACTTTTATGAAATGCT